CGGATTGCAGTTTCGACTATAACATAAAAGATTACTATTAAAAAATATCATAAATTCGTAGTGTGTTTATTTTTGCGATTGTTTTCTGATATAGCTGGTTTACGGCAAATGGATCATCCGAGAGATCCGATTCTGCTCCACATGATCTGGGCTCATTACTTCCAAAACAAACCTCATGACCTTTGATTAACACCTTCTCAAAGCCCAGTTTTTTTTTTGAAGGCAAAAACTAGCGATTTCGACACCCGCATCTCTGACTCCATAAAGAGAAAACACAGTTGGTTCAAAAAAAGGGGTGCGTCCTCTTGAAGTTGGGCCAAACTCGCTATATATCCCTCTGTACGGCGCGCGTACGCTGCGTACGTCGCATACGCCGCGCAGTCTGCCCTGCTATTACAGAGCCGAATTGACTCTTTCAGGTACAACTACTTCACCGTAAATCAACCGCTTCACCGAAAAACGACAACAAAAATGAAAACGCTACGAATTTATAAAACGATCTAAAAACCTCATAACTGCAATTTGTCAACAAAAGCGACAATAAATCATAAGTGTTATGTTGACATACTTGTGCAGCTTCAGCCATCTGCTTTGGAGTCGTTTTGAAGATGGAAAGTACCACACTCGCTGGCAGCGTGCAATCTGCAACCACGGATCGCCCCCGTCCATTGATCCTGAAACATTCTTGCAACATGAGCTCCCGTCTTACTTCGCATTTTCCATCCTTATCTTTCCCAGCCAACTACGCACCATCAAAGAACATAAACAAACCAGTTTATGGCTGCAGCTTTCTTATCAACACAGTAATTGCCGCTAAGTGCGAGAAGTTGTATTGCGGGGAATTTCTGCTTTAGAAGATGCATAGCCAATGAACACCCTCTGAACATAAGGAATTTACCCACAAAAAAAAACAGCTTATGGAAGTGACCTACTTTGAAACCATATTCATGCCCATAGCATCGCCAGTGAGAGCCACAAACCGAACAAATGCCAAATTGCCATCTATGGCGACCTCTACCTGCCGTAACTGTGCGAACCTAACATAGGGTACAACATTTTGCAGTTGTCGCAGTGAATCAAAAGTTTATACCTGCTTGTAGACTCAAATTCAGATTTGATCAGCGCGAAGTTTTCAGGTACATCGAACCATCTTTTCAGAGCACTAAAATGATACTTGTTTACTATAGGATAACATAGCATGCGAACACTGTCAGAAGAAAATGGGGAAAGAAAAGTTTTTTCTCGCAAAATCTAGCATTATCATAAACCTACACAGCTTCTTGCGCAGTAGGAAATTTTACAACAGGAGCACGAGTCATTCCCTCTTCGAAAACATTTGCTGTTCCCCCGCCACTTCGCTGAAAAACGATATTTCATTAGAAAGCTTGGATTCAACTTCAAACACAGCGCCCAAGCAAATCTGGACACATGGGGACCCTACGTGGAAAATATTCTTGGGACCCTAACTAAGACACTGCCCAAGTGGCAGCTCAGATG